GCCGACATTCTTGCTGCTGCCAGGAAACCCCTGTGCTCCAGCAGCCTGGAAAACAGGAAATCTCCCAGAAAGGGAACCCAGGCCGCTCGTCATGTGAAGGGATGGCCGGAAAGCAGCTGCAGGGGAACCCAGAGGGGCAGGGATGCTGCTGGGGTGGGGTTGGCACAAGCTGTGCTCCCCATCTGGCTGTTCCCAGGCTCTCTCCTGGCTGTGCTCAGCCCTGGCTCCACAACCAGGCTCAAGGTGCAGCCCTGAGATGGGTTCTGCCTCCTCTGTCCTGTCCGTAACCAGGCCTGGCTCACAGTGTGGCCCAGGCAATGGGGGCTGCCCATTGCAGCTGGGGTCAGCAAACCTGCCCATAACACTGCTACTGGCAAGAGTGAGCCTTGACACCCCCCATAATTCATCTGGCAGCTCAGTCCTGGCTGCTTCTTGCTTCTGCTGGGCGTGCTGGGGAGCTACTTTGTGCCCAGCTGTGAGGGGCTGGGGGACAGAGCCCCATTCCCCCACCCCAGGAAGCTTTGCAGTGTGTCGTGACCAGAGCAGGATGACACCCTGGGCTGTGTCTCCCAGTGATGGGACTCTGATGCTTGAGTGTTGACCTGGCCCCTCCTCTCCCAGGTATGGGATCAGCCCGGAGAACATCATTTTATATGGCCAGAGCATCGGCACGGTGCCCACAGTGGATCTGGCGTCCCGCTACGAGTGCGCTGCCATCGTGCTGCATTCACCACTCACCTCTGGCATGAGAGTCGCCTTCCCCGAGACCAAGAAGACCTACTGGTTCGATGCCTTCCCCAAGTGAGTGGCCTGAGGAGAAGGGGCAGGGGTCAGCTCTGCAGGGGCAGTGCCCACACCAGCTCTGTCCTGGACACCAGCCCTGGCCATGAAGAGGGGTTATGGTGGAAACCATGGACCTGTTCCCCGTGACAGGCTTGAACGTGCCCATTGGCATCCTCTTGCTTCGTGTTCGGTCCCCTCTGGGGCATCGTAACCCTCCCTGGGGTCACCATGCCACAGCCTGAGGGCCGTATGTGCACCCACTTCCGCTGGTGGTACCACCTCCTGGCCATCCTGGCCCAGTCTTTGCCTGCCAGCTTTGGGCCCCTTGTCAAGTATCACAAGTCCCAGGCGTCCCTCTCCCACAAGGGTAATTCCTTGGGCTTTTCCCCCTCTGCAGATGTCAGGGAAAGGCAGCGCTGAAGCGGGACAAGCTCATGCTTCACCTCTCCCTCGCAGCCCAGCCAGCGGGGCCCAAGGGACAGTCCCTGAGCCGGAAGCTGTGGCTGGGAGCCCCCAGCCCGCACTCTGCATCCCAGTCGCCTCGTGTGGCCTTTGGAGCCGTGCTGGGAACAGCTTCCACTCAAAGCCTGGCATGGCTGAACTCGGCCCGGGGGGTGCCTGTGCTCACACTGTCCTGCAGCAGCATCTGTCGGGTCCCAGGGGGCTGTTGTCACTGCTGCCTGGTCCTCGTCTTTCACGCCGGGGGAGAGCTTGTCCTGGAGCTCCTCCTTGGCAGAAGCTCCATGTTCCAATGCTCTTCTGGGATCAAAGAGCATTTCCTGGTCCCTCTCCCCAAGGGGATGTGTTTTCGGGGGTGAGGGGGGGGGAAGGACAAATGGGAGTGCCTTG